ACACATTGATACACACAGGGTGTGGGTGGGGATTTGCAAGTCATTTATTTTTACTTTTTTAATAGGCCTGAAATATGAGTGATGCTTTTATTTGGGAAACACGAGAAAAACCCACCTTCTGGAGTGAAATCACTGCAAAAAGAAATCCACCACTCACAGCTATGTAAGCAGAGAGTAGCATAGTAGGAACCCCCTTTCTGCTCTGGTTCATTCAGCTTATGGTCAGCAGGGGCCCAGACTCCACCTCCTGTAGCTTCATACTTGTTCCCCCAAGATAGGCACAGGGAGAGCAGACCTGAGCAGATGACCCCTGCGTCCTCCTTGTGCCTGCAGTTGTGTTGTCCCCATCCCCGGGAAGGACACTTCCAAATGTGAGACTCCTCTCCCGTGCATTTCAGGTCGTCCAGCCAGATGGGTCCTGTTCCTTCCCCAAAATGCACAGAAGCAGTGGCATTCATGGCCACTCCACAGCCCAGCTGTCTGCACACCACGTGGGCATCAGTCAGGTCCCAGTTGTCATCACAGATGGTGCCCCAGGAGCCCTGGTGAAGGATCTCCACTCTACCAGCACAGCGACTGCCCCCATCTACCAGGCGGAGCTGTCTGCTCTCTGGGGAGAGACAGTCATGTTAGTGGGGAATTTATACTGTATGAGAAGGGGTTCTGTTCCTGTGGGACCCCTCACCTGAGCAGTTGGTAGCCCTGTCCTCTGAGGCTGCAGAAGCGACTGGGTCAGACATAGTGTCATTGCACAGGGACAGCAGTTGTGTCTGGTTTTCTACAGAAACAATGTGATAAAGTGGTTAGAAGGGCTAAGTAGCAGGAAATTGAATAAAACTAAAAAATTAGTGAAGAATTTGAGATGAAAACTCTAACACAGAAGTATCATAACTTCAGAGCTAACCTTCTTTATGGAGGCTTCTGCTTCTGACAATGGCAAGTGTGTCCAGTTTAAGCAAACCATTGCAACGAGGGTGACTTTAGAAAAGCTGGACTATATGACCATTCTTTGAAAGCACTTATCCTGGCAATGAATTCTTTCCAACTGGTTTTCACATTCATTTTTTAAAAACTAGCACAGGTATTATTAAATTATCACACAGTAACTGTGGATTTTCTAATTTCTACATTTAATTATGTCTCTTGGAGCTTTATGTATATAAGACTTAGTCTATGAGAATGTATTTTTTTCACTATGTCTGTTTTGCCCCTTTTTACATTTTCTGTTCTTTTATCTTTCTGTGTATCTTTCATCTTTACTCTGTGTGTATTCCTATGATCGATCTCCATGTTGCTATTTCTTTCTTATCATGATCTAATGTCTTATTATGATCTAATAATAAAATTTTTATTACACATAAAATTAAGAAAAATCTGAAAATCCAGGATATTTTTATTCATATATGGAAAGTAAAAGATCAAACCACAAAGAAAGTAGAAAAAAGAAATACCATACCGTTTTTATTAAATATTTCACTAGAGATCAAAATTAGTTTAATAAGGAAAGAAAAAGAAATAAAAATCATAAGAATTTGAAAAAAATAAACTATAATTATTTGTAGGTTACATGAATGCAGAAAATGCATAAATATAGAAAACCCAAAAGAATCTATTGTTAGATTATTAGAAGTAATAGTCGAATTAATAATATTGCTGGACACAGGTCAATATAAAAATATATGCAACATCAATTTTATTCCTAAATGGTAACAATATAAACACACTGCCGCGGAATCAAACACGACTCATAGCGACCCCTCCTTGGGTTTCTGAGGCTATATCATTACAGAAGTAGATTGCCCAACCTTCCTTCTGAGGAGTGGCTGGTGGGTTTGACTGCCAGCCTTCTGGTTAGCAGTCAAATGCCTTAGGCACTATGCTACCAGTGTTCCCAGCAACAATATACAATGATAAAATTAAAAAGCTATAATGCTTAAGATAACATTGAAAATATAAAACACCTAGAGGGAAACCTAGTCAAATATGTGCAAGACTTCCAAAATCAAAGAAGACCTAAGTGAGTGGAGGGATATATCATGCAAATGAACCAGGAGGCTCATTATTGTCAAAATCAGTTCTCTCCAAATTCATCTGTAGATTAAATCCAATGTCATTCAAAATGCCATCATGTTTTCTTTCTTTTTGGTGAAAATGATAAACATATTCTAAAAATTATATGGAAATTCAAAGGACCAAGAATGATTACATTAGGGAAATAAAGGAAGGAAATTAGAGGAGTTACTTTACCACATGTTAAGACTTCTGTAAAGTTACAATAATTAAGGAAGTGTGATTTTGGTGCAAGGATAAATTAAATTCTTTCTTTAATAAAATGGAACGGAATAGAGTCTACAAAAGACTCATACATGGCCCTGCTCTGTAGATTTCACTCAAATCACAATAAAAAGTTAAAAACAAACAAAGAAACAAAAAACCTACATGGACCTTTTTTATGAAAAAGGTGGCACAGTGAGAGAAGAGAGTGTTTTCCGGACAGGATTGCAAGTCAATTGTATATCCATATAAAAATATGAAACTTGATTGCTATACCATATCATACACAGCAATAAATTCTAGAATGCTTATACAATTACATATATAAGAAAAACAATCTTCCAAAAGATTTTGCAGGAGAATATCTTCATGATCTTGGGGTAAAAAAATTCTCTTGAAATGGACATAGAAGCACTAAGGATACAGGAAAAGTTGATGAATTGTACTTCATTAAAATAAGGTACTCAGCTCATCAAAAAACATGATTGGGAGAGTGAAAACAGCCCAGAGTTAAACACTCAAAATAATACATAGGTAATTATACCAAAAATCTTTGTCACAATTATTTGAAGCTTCATTATTTGTAACAGTGAAGAACTGGAAACAAATCACCACCATCAGTTGCATGGATCAATACATTGTCATGCGATCATTCTAGGATACTCTGTACAATAATATGAATGAAGCACTGCTGTGAACAATGACTTGGATGAATCACAAACATAATATTGAACCAAAGAAGTAAAATAAGATAGAATGCACTGCATGACTTTATACAAAGTTAAAAAACTGGCAAAAACATTCTGTGGTAGTAGAAGTTAAGAGAAAGGTTTTCTTTGGAGAAGAGCGAGGGCACAGAGATTGTTGGGGCGTGTAGGTGACCTTTAGGTGCTGTGAATGTTCTCTTTGTTAACCTGGGTTTTGGTTTTTCACCTGTGTTCATGTTATTGTAATTGAGTGAGTTATACACTTATTGTTCATGCACTTTTTCTCTAGAATTATGCCTAAATAATAATGTTTATTAAAAAATATCCCCTTCACATTCTTTGCCCTGACCTGAAAGATGAGTGAACAATGAACCATATATCAGTGAAGACTATCTCACTTTTGAAATTAGGTTTTCTACTGCCTTCTCTTAGGGCCATTTCATTCAGAAACTTCCTGCATACCAGTTAGCTCGTATTTCTCTCTTACCTGAGCAGATCACAGACGCTGTGTTCCCTTGGGTACACTCAGGAATCCCCAGGGCTGTCATAGGGCAATTCCACAAAAAGGACTCGGCCCCTGAGCAGTGAAATCGGTGTTTCCAGATCTGATCCCTTCCTTCCACAAAGAATGCTCCTGTTGGGGTAGAGATGGCAACTCCACAGTTGAGCTGACGACAGACTACATTGGCATTGGCCATGTTCCAGTGGGAAGCACAGAGTGGTTTCCAGTCTCCAGAAATACTCATCTCCACTTGTCCCTCACACCGAGAGCTGCCATTTTTCATGAGCCGGACTTCTGTGTACTCTGGTAGAAGAAGATGGTTTCAGCAAAATGTCATGTTTTTGTTACTCCAACAGAATATGCAAGTGGGATAAAGACCTGCTCTGAGTCTCACCTGAACAGATGATATGGACTGCCCCACTGTGGGGACAAGTCCCTCCAGGACAGGGAACTCTGGGGCAGGACCAGAGTACAGGCTCCTGCCCTTCACACTGGAACTTTTCAGTCCAGACTTGTCCATCGGCTTCTCTGAAGGGCACACCCCCCAAGACTGATGTAGCCTTACCACATCCCAGCTCTGCACAGATGACCTGGGCAGTGGGGAATGTGAAGTTCACATCGGACACTGGGGTCCAGTGTTCTCCTGGATTCACTTCCAGTCTCCCTGAGCAGGGTCCATCTCCTCCAACCAGATGCACAAATCCTAAGGGAGAAAAAAACCAACGAAGTGAGTGTTCGTGATCCTGGCTTGGCATCTGGAAAAGACACATTACAGGTAATAATGTGAAAGCTTTTCTTTTCCCAGGAGTGAGTCATGGAAAGGATTCACCTGTTGGTGTTAAAATGGGACTTCCATGAGTGAGTTTCTGAATGGAGATCCAGGAAGGATTTGAAATATCCATTCAGAATGATTGAGTCCTTGAAATATACCCTTTAGGAAGAAATAGATTCCTCATTTTGGGACCTGGGACCTACAGGAACCAAGGAAACCACACAATATGGTGGGCATTGAAACCTGGGCACAGAAGAATGAAAAGTAGAACTGAGAGGTCAAAACAAAACAACAAAAAAAGGAATGGACAAGGAGGGCGTAGAGACCTGTCAGGCAGACAAGGTTAGCGAGACATCCCAAAATATCTGGGACAAAATTTCTGATTGTGTTTCTTTTCCTTCCCATCCTCAAGGGACTGAAGCTATGGGAAATCATGTGGGCTGGACGTATAAATGCATTTTAAACTGAGATGATTGAAGAGACCATATAAAGAGAACATATAAATGTGTGTGTGTGTGTACACACACACACATATATATGGAAGCTCTGGTGGCATAGTGCCTAGGGGATTTGACTGCTAACCAGAAGGTTGGCAGCTCACTACTTCTATAGTGATTCTGCCTTGGAAACGCAAGGAGGGGTCGCTATGAGTTGGATCTGACTCCATGGCAATGGTTGCATTTGTGTATATATGTATGCCTTCCTTGTAGCCATAGTGATATTATCCTATAGATAATATAGAAATCCTGTAATACAGATAATATAATATAGATGATATGTATATACTATAGATAATATAACCAGAAGGCAGGCGGTTCAAACCCACCAGTCACTCCTTGGAAGGAAGATGGGGCAATCTACTTCCGTAGTGATACTGCCTCAGAAACCCAAGGACGGGTCACTATGAGTTGGGTCTGACTCGACGGCACATAAAAACAACAGATAATATATATGTATAATATACATATACATAGACACATAATGTATTTATATGTATATGTGCATATATATATATGTGTGTGTGTGTGTGTGTGCATATATATATGTCTAAAAAAAACCAAACTCACTGCCCTCGAGTCTGATCCAAATCATAGCGACCCTCCTTGG